AGAGTGTACTTACACAAACCTAGATGGTACAGCCTACCTCACACCTAGGCTATGTAGTACAGCCTATGGCTCCTGGGCTACAAACCTGTACAACATATTACCGTACTGAATACCGTAGGCAATTGTAACACAACGGTATGTAACACAATGGTATGTGTATCGAAACATATCTAAACATAGAAAAGGTACAATAAAGATACAGTATGAAAGATAAAAAATGGTACACTTACATAGGGCACTTACTGGGAATGGAGCTTGCAGGACTGGAAGTTGCTCTGGGTGAGTCAGTGAGTGGTAAGTGAATGTGAAGGCCTAAGACATTACTGCACACTTAGGCTACACTAAATTGATTTTAAAAACTATTTTTCTTTCTTTAGTAATAAATTAAACTTAGCTTTCTGTACCTTTTTTACTTTATAAACTTTTTAATTTTTTTTAACTTTTTGACTCCATAATAACACTTAGCTTAAAACACAGACACATTATACAACTGTACAAAAAATCTTTTTTTTCTTTTCTTTTTTACTTTTTAAACTTTTTTATTAAGAAATAAGATACACACTGTGTGGCCTACGCTCCAGGCCTACCCAGGGTCAGGATCATCAATGTCACTGTCTTCCACTTCGATATCTTGTCTCACTGGAAGGTCTTCATTGGCAATAACATGCATGATACTGTTACCTCCTATAATAACAATGCCTTCTTCTGGAATACCTCCTAAAAGACCTGCCTGAGTCTGTTCTACAATTAACCTTTTTTTTTTTTTTAATAAGTAGAGGGAATATACTCTAAAATATTGACAAAAATTGTAGTATTATAAATATAGAAACCAGTAACATAGTCATTTATTATCATTATCAGTCATTATGTACTGTACATAATTGTATGTGCTATAGCTTTGTTTATTTGTTTGTTTGTTTTAGAGACAGGGTCTCACTCTGTTGCCCAAGCTGGAATGAACAGCCTGATCATAGCTCCCTGCAGCCTCAAACTCCTGGGCTCAAGTGATTCTCTTGCCTCAGCCTCCTGAGTAGCTGGGACTACATACAGGTGCATGCCACCATGCCCAGCTAACTTTTCTTATTATTTCGTAGAGACAGGGTCTTGCTATGTTTCCCAAGCTGGTCTCAAACTCCTGGCCTTAAGTGATCCTCCCACCTTGCCCTCCCAAAGTGCTGGGGTTACAGGCGTGAGCCACCGTGCTCAGCCATGTATGTGCTGTACTTTTATATAACTGGCAGCACAGAAGGTTTATTTACACCACAAACACACGAGTAATGCATTGCACTGTGATGCTGCACTATGATATTACAATACTACAACATCACAAGGCAATAAGGCTGTTTCAGCTCCATTAAAATCTTATGGGACCACCATTGTACATG